GAAAATTCACTCAATAAACAACATTTTCCCAAAGAACTTCTTCTACCAAATTAGAAGATGTGCGGTTGAGAGCACGTCAGCCAAATTTAGCGATCCGGAAATATTTATTCTCTGCCAGTCAGCTTCTGCCTTTTTCAGTAAGCAGCTTTCGGACGCAATGCGTAGATAATTTAGGTATCAGGTGCGCTAAAGCTGCTCGTAGGTATTCGCAGACAGTTGGGATCCGAACCGTTGTCTTCTTATTTGTAGTCCGTGGTGGATTTTGTCGGGCACCAGGTCGTGTATGTGGAACGCGCAGCTGTGTCAGTCACCGGGTCGAATCACCGCACCAGTTGACTGAACGGAGCAGACAGTGCGCTGATCCCTGAGGAGGAGGTGAAGTGAAGTCGAGAGCACTAGGTGCTAGCACTGTAAATAAAGTAATTCACTGCAATTGCTGTGTGGCGCGTAAGCTTAAGTACACGGATTTAAACAAATAGCGATAACAGTAAGTTAAGGAGATGTGTAACAAATAGAATCAGTTTAGACAGTTGTCTAGAAATAAACTTAGGACAAATTTGTGAAGAAATGCACCTATAACAAAGGGCTACAAGCAGCGTGTTGGTGGTGGTGGCTCGGAAAGACTAGAGGCGAATTGAGGTCGACAGCACCCACTGCCTATTCCGCACTGCAAGCTAGCAGACACGTTTGCATCAATCATAGTGCGCTTAGAGTCGTGACTTGCAAGGTTGCTAATATACAAGATAATCGTTTCGTTGGCTAAAATCCAAAGCAGAAACATTTGTGCGTCAGAAAACAGAGGCTTTTGTGCTGTCACCACCCATTTATGACCCAACCTCCAAAATCGATCAAAATGCAACTGTATTCATACTTGGCTAAGCGTTTCATGGCATGGCTAACGAGTTGCAGACAGCTGCTTAACAGTCTTCGACTGAGTTTTCCTGCATCAGTAGAAGTGACTGTATGTGTTCGGACCCCTTTTTTCCAGAAAATGGGCAAAGTGTTTTCTTCAACTAAAATTGAAATGAAATGTATGACTTTAGTGTTCCACTTCTTACGCTACCTAACGCAAGCAAGGTTGTTTAACTGAAAAAAAAATATAATGTAACTGTGCGAGAATTGAATATTCTTCTATAGTTAGCGGCACTAACTTAAATATCCACCCGGCAAGCAAATCTCTTTTACCAAATCTATATCTTCAAACTCACTCTGGAATATTTTCCGCCTTTTCGAACATCCTTCTATTGTTAACGTTCGGTGATGGTACTCTTGAAGTAACGGGCCCGAACACATACAGTCGCGTCTACTGACAAAGTTTATTTCATATCGTTCTCCTACACTTTCACATTCTTCACCCAAACAGCTTGTGAAAGCCTCCTACCGTGTTACATTACGCCTAATTAATACCGACGTCTTCTGCAGTATTGGCTAGCTGCCCGATTCATGTGAAACAAAACCCGACTTTGAAGAAGGATTTGAAATGCCACCCATGCGAAAAGCAAACCGCGAAGGCTGTAGCAAAAGTTCGTATATTTTTGCGTAGTCCTAGAAACCTATACCAATGTCAGCGTAAAAGAGCTGTAGAGAAAGTTATACCTGTTCTACTAGCAGGCAGGCAAGCTGGCTTGACGGTCTTTTCTATGGGTGGGGTGGCACTCACATCTGCACCTTGAGTCCCGAGTAGCACCAAACGGCGCCGTGACAATCCGCGATCAGCGCTACTACGTTGATTAATCTTGCCTTCGTTTGTCAAGCCTCGGATACTCGCGTGTGATAACCTCCCTCGCACGCTCTTGCTCAATCGCTGTTAGAGACCGCGTTGCCCCAATCTTTGCGTTTCTCCGTGTGACAGTCGCTTCCTCACACTCCTGATCGATTCGCTACTGAAAGTCTTGCTAACATTCCTTTCATCATTCCCGAAAGAGGAAAAAGAAGAAGAAGAAGAAGAAGAAGAAGAAGAAGAAGAGACGATTTCCGGGAGCAAGGTGTATTTTGACTGACGGTTCAAAAGCGTGCTCGCTTCCATCGTCAGAGCGTGGTGTCTGTGCTCCTGTTCGCGTCAGATAATTGTGTCCGACCATTAGCCTTGCTTAATTTCCATGTGTCAATCGATTGCACCGATCGATTTCTGTGGCTGTTTGAATTCCTCGTGCCCTCATGGGCGTCTACACGAGTTGTGTCAAATTGTCTTTGTGTCCCATGAGCATTTCAATCCTCTTTGTTCGCGGCTGCCGACGCGAATGGCAAAACGCGAAGGGTGTAGCAAAAGTTCGCATATGTTTGCGTAGTCATGCTCAGATCCGCTTTCCTAGAAACCTACGCCAATTTTAGCATTAAAAAGAGCTGTAGAAAAAGATATACCTGTTCTACTAGCAGGCAGGCAAGCCGGCCTGACGGGCTTTTCTTTGGGTGGGGTGGCACACACATCAGCACTTTGAGCACCCGAGTAGCACCAAACGGCGCCGCGACAATCCGCGATCAGCGCTACTAGGTTGACTCACCTCTCCTTCGCTTGCCAAGCCTTGGTTACTCGCGTGTGATAACCTCCCTCGCACGCTCTTGCTCAATCGCTGCTAGAGACCGCGTTGCCGCACTTTAATAAAGGAATAACTCACGTTCTACAGCTATGTGTGGTCGTTTGACCTGTGGCAGTCCACTATCAGCATCACTCCGCTGACTCA